ATCGGGGCCAAAGCAGAGGATGCATGTTATCTAACATCCAATGTTTCAGCAGTTGTAGTATTATGAAGAATATTTAAACAGCATAGTGATGAAATGTACTTTTAGTTGTCTTCAATTCTGTTGCAGATGTACTTGTGTTTTCCATTTGTACTGTAGTAGTACTGAAGTTAGAGGGTGTTTTTTTGTTTGTTTTGGGGTTGTTGTTTTTTTAAAGAATAGAACTATATTTTCAGTGTTACTATGAAACAGCTGCGTATCTTAAAAAATTACGGTAGCCTAGTGAGGTTAACATTTATCGATGGTACTCTTCAGCACTTACACTTGCTCTTCCAACAGGAGTTGGATGGATAATCACGACTAAATATTTCTTGAAGGTTGCGCTTCAACCGTGATAGTTTCTTGTTACTTGAAGCAGACCATCCTTCCTATAAATCATTCTTCAAGTTTACAAAACTATTACAGAGACTAAACTGGAGGCAAGACTAATAACCCGTAATCATTTCCTCGTACCTTTGCTCGAACCGTCAGCCGCGTACTACCAAGGACGCATTTATTTCCATACCCTGCAGTCTCGACGCAGTTTGGAGCAATGCTGACAAACAGCGTTGGACAGAATAAAAACGTAAACATTAAGTTAGGCAGAAACAAGAACGTGGTGGACGTGCACATGATTTGGCTCCATTCTCACTGACAGCTGTGCAGAAGCGTCTCCCCATAAACACACAACCGGAAAGACGGGCTGCCAAACTAGCTCGCATCTGACTAAATCGAAAGTGAAAGCAAGTGAGTGAAAGCGAGAGCATTACTTGTTTTTTAAACCAAATTACCATAATGGCACATAGTTCACCGACATCAGCTGAAATGTATCCCGCGGACCCACGTGGATCGCCCCGTAGACACACCTCCTATATATACGCATTTGATTAGTCTCCCTAATTGGGGACACGCCGTGTTTTCCTCCAGGTGATTAGCCGACAGTTTGGGTTAGACCTCTACCAGTAACGCACTAAAATGTAACTTACAGCTCGCTGATCTCGGTGACATGTGAGTTGAAAAAGGATCACCGGGAGCGCCGTCATCTGCGCAGTGACTGCGGTTGCCGTCGTCCTAGCCAGCGGAGCAGCAAGCAAAGATTACACTTTTGCACCTCATTTGTGATAATAAAGCTGGTTTGTCTCATTGGTCTGCAGGCAGTGTTATTAACACTTGTGGCGAGAGTGAGTACGGGTATGATTTCGCAGGCTGACTTGCACACGCCCTGTTCTGGTCGTGTTGAGACGTTCACTCCTCCTCCAAGTCGTCACTTTATCGGTTTCTTTTTTCTTTTCTGTTTCTTTTAATGCATGAGTCATCAGAAATACTTCACAGAAATGCACATTCAAGAGGGATTTTATTTAATTTTAAATTTTTATTTATTTATTTTTACACAAATGTGCCTTGCAGTTTATTTCAAACATCAGGACAAACAACTGCACTGAGGAAAGATGCCACAAAAAGGCTCTCCAGCAGATCAATAGTCATTACACAACACCGATAATGAGCACAGGTTATGCTTTATTCATAACAAGCCACAGAAGAATTCCCTTCAGTGGCCGCCAATTTGCCTGGATCAGAAAACCAGTGAAGTTAATGATTTAGGCAATTCATTCCAGCTAATAATTTGTTTATTATTACAGCTGACCAAGCTAAAACAGGACGACTTATTTTGGATATAAGCATACGGGTAAAATGTTTGAGGAAGTTTTTCATAAACAGGAAGATGAAAGTCTCGAGGCACATTGTGGTGAACAGCTAACGCTTAAGGTTTGTTGTTGCTGTTTGGACTATTTAAGACAAGCCAGAGCTTCACAATCATGACTTATTGAAAATTTCCTGTATACTCTGCAGTTGTGTGTGGATTCTGGTGGAATTCAAAAATATGGAAGGATAGTCTGGTCCTAAATGTAACAATCAGACCCTGATTGTAAAAAAAATCTAGGCAAATTCATAAGATCTGAATGAGTATTTGTCCAACAGCCAATACTGGTTGCCACCTCGTTTGAAAGAAAGTGAAGA